TTAAAATATAAAAAATCTAAAATATAATTAGAATAATTATCGAGTTCTAACAAAATACTTAATTATTATCTTTATAAAAATAATTATATTATTAAACCAAAAATAAAATAAAATAAATACACAAAAAAAGGAGAAATTTTAAATAGTTAGTTTGATATTATTATCAAAAAAATTCAACTTTTTTTTATCAAATCTTCATATTTATATTTTATTTAAAAACAAAAACATTACGTTTTCTCAAAACCACATAAAACCGTATTATAACATCGATTGATACAAAGAAAAAATGAAAAAATCGAGATGTATCTAGCTATGTTATGTGAATACCATTCTAGTATATAATATAATATAATATAAATAAGAGTCTTGACTATTTAGAGAATCTTCAACAACTTCTTTAAAGCATAAAAAATCAAAATTTTATTCTCTATAACAGCATCTCAAATAGCTTCTCAAAAATGGATAAAAAAAGGGATTTTGAGCCAATATTTTGCTTCAACAATTTCCTCAAACTATCTCTAAAATAGAGAAAGCAGAAGAGAGAAGAGTTTTTCTTCCAAATATGGAAAAAAATCTCAAAAATGATTACCAAATGAGACCACCAATAGAAACTTTGAAAATAAATTTTAGGGAGAGAAATAAATTTTAGTAGATAAATGAAATATTTTAATATTATAATTAATGTTAAATTCTTCAAAATAGGGAATTTGTTGGAGATAGAATGTAATTTTTTTTAAGATTTTGACATTTGGTTCTCCGTTTTAAATAAATTTTGAAGAATTTCTTGAATATATTCTAAAGCTCCAACACCTTCTCGATCTCATTCTCTAAAATTGGGAATGATGGAGAAAAATACAAATATAAAAAAATTCTCGAAAACTCCAAAGAGAAGAGAGAGAAATGAGTTTTTTATTTATCCCATTAATGAAAGTCGAATTAATATCATTTTAAATATTTTTTTAAATCTGTATTGAAAAATAAAATTATAGAATATTTAAATAATATAATTAAGGATGAAATCTTTAATATATAGAATTTGTTGGAGTTTATTGTAATTTAATTTAAAGATTATGACCTTTAATTTTTTATTTTAGAGAAATTATAGGAATATATATATATATATATATATATATATATATATATATATATTAGAAGGGTATTCACACAATGCAGCCATATACGTCATGATTTTAATGTTTCATTTTATATTTTGGGTCTATCAATGTTATAACACGATTTTATGTGGTTTTGAGAAAAAGAAAATGTTTTTTATTTTTAAATGAAATATAAATTTGAAAATATTATAAAATTTTGATAAAAATAAGCGATATTAGTATCAAATTAACTATTTAAAAGTTTTTTTTTTTGTGTAATTTCTTTAATTCAATTTTTTTACTATGATTTGATTGAATTTTAAAACAAACGAATTTATTTTTGGTTTAATAAAATAATTTATTTAAGATAATAATTAAGTATTCTGTTAGAACTCAATGATTATCTTAATTATATTTTAGATTTTTTATATTTCAAATGATGTTTATCATGTATTTGATTATGTTTATCTGCAGCTAGT